TCAGCTCCTGCCTCCAGGCTCCCACCCAGTTTGAGTTCCTGCCTTGGCTTCCCTCAGTGGACTGTGATCAGAACATGTAAGCCAAATAAGCCCTTCCTCCTCTTTTGGTCAGGACGATTTAGTGCAGCCATAGAAGCCATAACTAAGACAGGGAGAAAATTATTTTAGCTCACAACCCCAGTCCATAGGCTATCATTGCAGAGAAGTCGAGAACGGAACTTGGGGTACTCACAGCCACCATGAGGAGCAGGTGGAGAATAAATGCTTACCATTCCGCTCTCTCTCCTTTAACACAAGTCAGGACCCAACCCAGGGAGTGGCACCGTCCACGTTGAGGTCTTCCCACTTTAGTCAACACAGTCAAGACACCCCCACCCCCACCACCCCACCTCCTGGCAGGACGTGCCCTCATAGGCCCACCTAATCTAGACAATGCCCCATTGAGACTCTTCCCAGGTGGTTCTAGCGTCTGTTAAATCAACAATGAAAACCAACCATCACAGCATCCCTGTAAGGGGTTTTCTTAACCGGGTTAATTGAAGTGGGAATCCCCACTTGAAATGTGGGTGGTGCCATAAAGATGCAGAAGTCATGTGACCAGTTTTCTCAAGATTCTGCTGTCGTGACATTCCTGCTATGATGGACAATTGTGAATGAGAATAAGACTTTTCTCTCCTAAGCTGCTTCGTCAGAGTATTTTATCATAGTGACAGGAAACTAAGATAATGACCATTCCAGTTCCGTGACTGGTCAGATGGTCATAGCTGATATTTATACCTCCTCTGTTATCCATTCTGTGTTTCCTTTGTCTTCACAATCATCTTACTTGATTGGTTGTGGCTCTTTTTGTGGTGGGGAGGAGCACACTGAAATGCCGTCATAGACAACCCTGGAGTGAGTCAACTCTCTTCATTCCTGAAGGAGCTAGGCCATGCATGCTTATGCCAGGACTGGGTTTTTGTAGATTTCCATTGGCCTTAGTCTTGGGCATTGAAATACTAAGAGACACCTGAGCTGTCTGCCATTCCTTACATACATGTTCTTACCTCCATAGTGGAATAACATTCTGATTTTTCCTTGGAAGTCAGGACCAGTCACCAGCAGCAGCAGTAATCCCAATCCTTGCTTGTTGATTCAGGGAAATGAAGAGTCCAGGGTGACTAGGTGGCACATTTAATTTCACGTTCAGTTGGAATCATCTTTATATCTTTTGATAGATACGTCCCTCCCTTCGTAGTTGAGATTCATAGAGCCTCAAGCTGTAGGAACAGGAAACAGAATTTTGTTTGTAGGTCATTATGGATGATAGTGGGTGGTACCACTTCCATCTCCACCTCTTGATTCCTGGCTACGTGACTCTTGGCTATGGGAGAAGCAGCGCCGTGTATCAGATGCTCGAACACACACAGTTCCTGGAGCACATGGCTCCAGCCATGCAAGGTACTCTCACCTTACTGGAGACATATCTGTACTTTCAAACCAAGCCAATTGCTGCAGAATTATGGAGACCATGGTAAGACATGAATTCCGTGAGCAGGAACTCTTTGCCACACGGCTTGCTGTGAGGTGGGTTCCTCAACCAGAAGCAATGCTGGTTTGAATACTGCAGTGATGTTAAGGCAGTGTATACAAGCCCACGGCTGACAGTTTTCATATAAGCATTCCGTCTGAGGAAGACAAGTCTTTTCCCAGGGTGAGTGTCTGTTCTGATGAGCGCAAACATGTTTTACCTTTTCCACGCCTGAGCAGTGTAAGGTAATCAACCTGACGCAGGTGACTGGCTGCTCACTTAAAGGAATGGGGCCACAGCAAGGTGACACTGCTGCTGGGAATTTGGGCACTCACCAGTGACAGTGAGTCCACCTCGGAGAGTGAACGTCCATGTTCCTGGGCCTATGATGAACCCTCACCCCTGCATCCATGATTGTTTAACTCATGAGCCCATTGAACAGTTAAGGCAGGAGGGGAAAGGGGAGACTGACTGTCGTTTACAGAATGTGTAACTGCGTACGCTCTTACGGGCTCAGAATCTCTGCTGAGGTTGCTGTGAGCTTCAGTTGAGATACGGGTGTCTCTGACGTTCTGTCCTCAAGTGGAAGCTTCGAGCTCTGCTTGCTGGGGGTATTTACATTCACTATTGTCTTCCAGGCTGTGTGTTGTAGCCATTCCTTCATGGATGGTGTGTGCACTCATGCAGAATCAGATCTGATTCTTCTCTTTTTATATCAAATGATAGATCACTCATCAGGAATCCTCATACAACCGTAGCTCATGCTCAGAAGACAGTGTAGCTGTAGGTAGAATGGGAACAGTAGGCATTTGAGACAGAGTATCGTGTAGCCCAGGGTGACCTTGAACTCACTATTAGCTGAGAATGACTTCTTAGACTTCTGATCTATTATCTCCTAAGTTCTGGGATTGTAGACATGTGCCACAACACCTGGTCTGGGCCACTTTGTCATAATGGAAAGATCAGGTCCATATTAACTTGGTGGCCTGATTCAGAACATATAGTTTTCTGGAGAACATGACCCCTGCTAACCATCATCAACTGAATGATTCAATAGTCATTTTCTACTACACCTCAGGAGTAGGGTAAGAGTTGTCTTTTTTTGTTTGTTTTTCGAGACAGGGTTTCTCTGTGTAGCTTTGGTGAACTCATTGGAGCATGGGGGAGGGATTATTTACCGGCGGTCTACCACTGAGGAAAATGTCTCTCCCTTCCCCGGCACCTGTGAGCTGCCATACCAGCCCCTCCCGATTCTACGGCAGAACGCTGACGGCCGACTTGTGCAGATCGTGTGTAGGGAGTAACATCTGCTGAGAGCGAGCGTGCAGTGGCCACGTCCTGCCTGGGAGTCATCATCAGTCTACTTACTATGCTCACCCTTTCTTTACTCTTACGTTCTTTCTGTCCTCTTTCCACAGAGTTCCTGAGGCCTCGAAGGGATGTTCTGTTTCAGGCTGAACGTTCTTGAAAAGGGAGTGGTTATCAGACTGGGCATGATGCCACACATGTAGTAGTATAAGAGGTTGGGAGACTGAGGCGGAAGGATAGCTTTGCCTTCCAGACCAGCCTGGCCTTCAGAATACCAAAAACAACAAAGACGCAGCTCTCCATGGGGACAGCAGGACTTTGTTCCAGCCCCTTCAGTCCTGTTCTGTGGTTCACCGATAAGGTCGCCAACCGCTGCGATACTGTCAAACATGTTGGGACATATGGCCCACGTGGGACAGCAGCTTCCAAAGCAGCCCAGGCTTGCTGCAGAGGTGTTCCTTCTTTTAGGCCTCACTGAAATCTGGCAGCTTTTGTCTGATAGAGAGTCTTTCTGTGCAGCCCTGGCTGCCCTGGTACTCCCTTTGCAGCCTGGGCTGGCCTCGAACTCAAGGCCATGCTCTGTCTCAGCCTCCTGAGCGCTGGGGCTACAGGTATACTCTACTATACTTGGCTTAAAAGTAGGAGCTTCAGGGATGAGGATGGACTTAAATTAATAGCCAGCCGGGACTGCGCAGCAAGACCTCAAAAACCCAAACCCAAACAAATGATTTATTGAAGAAGGCCTCTGAAGTTTTGACAGACATATCACTTGCCGGCTTGATATTTGTATCAAAGAAGAGCTGCCACTTCCTGGGGCTGGAGAGATGACTCCGTAGTTAAGAACCATGCGTTGCTCTTGCAGAGGACCTGGGTTTGGTTCCCAGCACCCACATGGTGGTTCATAGCCATCTGCAATTCCAGTTTCAGGGGGTCTGATGCCCGCTTCCGGCCTCTGTGGGCACCAGGCATGCATGTAACACACATGGAGTCATAGGAAAACACTTTTTTTTCCCCCTTTGAGACAGGGTTTCTCTGTGTAGTTTTGGTACCTGTCCTGGATCTCGCTCTGTAGACCAGGCTGGCCTCGAACTCACAGAGTTCCGCCTGGCTCTGCCCACTGAGTGGTGGGATTAAAGGCGTGTACCACTGCCACCTGCCTGGGAAACACCCGCCTGGGAAACACTTTTTTTTTTAAATTTTTTATTTGTTTTCATTTTATGTGCATTGGTGTTTTGCCTACACATAAATCTGTATGAGGGTGTTGGGTCCCCTGGAACTGGAGTTACAGACGGTTGTGAACTGCCATGTGGGTGCTGGGAATTGAACTCGGGTCCTCTGGAGGAGCAGTCAGTGCTCTTAACCGCTGAGCCATCTCTCCAGCCCCCAGGAAGCACTCTTACACACAACATAAAAATAAATCTTAAAAAAGAGAAGAGTTGGGAGGGAGAGAACAAGGGAATCTGTGGCTGTTATGGAGAACTGAATAGTATTATAAAATAAAATAAAATTAAAAAAAAAAAAGAGAGAGAGAGAAGAGTTGCCACTTCTTGCCTGTGAAGTCCGGTCATCACACTGTCACTCGAGTCACAGGGCAATGGCACGTGGAAAGGACAGGAAGTGGGGTCCTGACAGCTGACTGGAAAAAAGGCTGAAAACCGGGGGAAGTCCGAACCAAAAAGGAAAACCTGTTGAAGACCTTGTCAGCTGAAATCATCATAGCCCCTGCATCCTGGGGAGCTCTTTCTCACTTTTCCTTGGTAGATCCATGAGGGGAGGGCATGGGAAGACTCATGGCAGAGCATGGCGGCGCATGTCTGCAATCCCAGAACTCGGGAGACATAGGTAGGTGGCGTCTAGCAGGTTCAAGGCCAGCCTGGTCTACATCGGATAGTGAGTTAGCCAGGACTACATAGTGAGACCGTGCCACAGTTTTTGTTTTCAAGGCAGAGTCTCTCTGTGTAGCCCTGGCTGTCCTGGAACTCACTCCTTAGACCACACTGTCCTCAAACTCACAGAGACCTGCCTGCATCTGCCTCTGAAGCACCAGGATTAAAGGCCTGCACCATCACACCCGGATTTACAGTCTTTTAAAAGACAGTATGCTGGGACTCCCTTCCTAAGTTGGTTTCTCACACTGTTGGTGGAGGATGTGTGTTCTGGATTCTTCCAGTGCAGGCAAATAGGTCCTAAGTGACAGCCCTTCTAACATTCCAATGTCCCCAGGCCTGTGAATCCCTTCCTGTGCGTTGAGCTGAAGGCACGTCTGCAATTCACTGTCTAATTCACTCACTGAGACTCACAGTTTGCTCCATGTTTCATTTAACTGTCAGAGTAGCCAACACCCTGTGGCATGGAGCGTACATACTCCTGGCGAGCCTACACCAATCAATGTGGCTTGGTCCCCTTTGTTTCTTATGCTGTTAATCCAAACTCTCAGTATCGATTTCTACTTACGTAGCTAAGATTTCTGTTTCTACAAATTCGACAGCAAGCAATCCCTCCCTTTATTTTTGAAACAGAGTCACACTCTGTTGTCCACATTGGCCCCAAACTCCTGGGGTCCAGCAATCCTCCCAGCTTGGCTTCCTGGGTTGCTGGGATTTCCTGCCTGGCTTAAAGCACTTCTTCTGGAGTATAGTGCATCTCCTCTGGGGTTACACTGTGAGCTTTGCCTTTTAGGGCTGCTGGACCCTGATTACAGAGATTTAGACACACAGAGGAGTGGTAGGGTGAGTCCCGAGGAGCTGTGTATTATTTTGCTCACCAACTGCTTTGGGAGGACATTTCCTTGAGTAAGGCAACAGACAGAGATGTTTGTGTCTTTACAGGATGTCACCATATATTGGTTAACACTAAATTCACAAGTTACTTTGGTTTGGTTGGCTGCCATTTGCAATTTGACCAGAATACAGTTACTTTTATTTCAATCTCTCTCTCTCTCTCTCTCTCTCTCTCTCTCTCTCTCTCTCTCTCTCTCTCCTCTCTCTCTCCTCTCTCTCTCCTCTCTCTCCTCTCTCTTTGTTTTTTGAGACAGGGTTTCTCTGTGTAGCTTTGGAGCCTGTCCTGGAACTCACTCTGTAGACCAGGCTGGCCTTGAACTCACAGAGATCCGCCTATTATTTCAATCTAAAGGCTGGGTGTGGTGGCCCATACCTTTAATCCAAGCACTCAGGAGAAAAGAGGCAGATGGATCTCTGTGAGGCCAGGGCCAGCCTGGTCTACACAGTGAGTTCCAGTACAGCCAGGGCTTTGTAGATAAACCCTGTCTCAAAACAAACACACAACAAAAAAACCAGCCTCGGGGAGGAGGGAGTTGCCAAATAAGGGAATAGACCTCCGTGGCTAGCTTTAGGAATGTCATCTAATGGTTTTGAGCAAGGTTAAGGGAAAGGGGGGAGGACAAGGCCTGCCAGAGTCCCTTCATATATGTAAGTTACAGAGCGGCTTTGAAAGGCGGGGCTGGGCATGTAGCTCAGTTGGTAGAGTGTTTGGTTAGCATTCAAGAAGCCCTGCCTCTGATTTCCCTGCGTATGCCTATAATCCCAGTACTCGGAAGGTGGAGGCTAGGGTTAAAAGTTCAGTGTCATCTGCTGCTATACAGTGAGTTCCCGGCCAACGTGGAATATATGAGACCCTGTATGAAGGAGAGAGGGAGGGAGGCAGGGAGGGAGGGAGGGAGAGAGGGAGGGAGGGAGGAAGGGAAGGAGTGGGAAGAAAGGAAGGAAAGAAGGAAGGAAGGCAGAAGGAAGATAACAGGTCCTTTAGGGTCATTGCCATCGGAGTGTTAGGTGCCCTTTTCTTTATGAGAGCCAAATGAAGGTGTGCTATAGTGTGTTTGATCAATTCTCTGGCCTGGTTTTTTTGATATGATTTTAATATGCTCACATGTTCCAATTTGATAAGGACACAAAAATGTAAAAGAGGGCTGGGTAACTAGTCCAGTCAGCAAAAAGCTTGCTGCACAGCATAAGGACTTGAGTTCGGATCTCCAGGACCCATGTAAAAAAATAGGTGTGGTGGTGCACATCTTCCCCCCCCCAAAACAGGGTGTGTGTGTGTGTGTGTGTGTGTAGTTTTGTCTCGGAACTCGCTCTGTAGACCAGGCTGGCTTTGAACTCACAGAGATCCACCTGCCTCTGCCTTCCAAGTGCTGGGATTAAAGGCGTGCGCCACCACTGCCCAGCTGTAGTACACCTCTTTACTCCCAGTACTGGTGGGATGGAGACAGGAGGACCCCAGGAGCTTGCTGGACAGCCAGTCTGGCCAAGTCAGTGAGCTCCAGGCTCAGTGAGAGTCCCTCTCTCAAAAGCAAACTGCTGCCATCTCCGCCGCTGCCGTCACTATCACCACTACCACCAACCACCCTTACCACTGCCACCCAAACCGAAAACCAACCAACCAATGATCAAACAAACAAAAAAGGTTGAAATTGATAGAGAAAAATACCTGAAATCGACTTCTGACTTTCCTATG